GTGATTAATAAACTATAATAAAATCTATAATGAGCATAATGTGAAGCAGAACAGGAAAAAAGATAACAAGTTCACTGATAAAGAGTCTTAAAATCTTACCTTTTAAAATAGTAAACATGGAGAGCAATTTGTTGTTTTTCTCGGTTTCATTTTACTATAAATTCTTAAACCTCTGCAGCTATGGCGTCTCTAAACAGCTTAGAGCCCATCAGGACGCCTTTACAAACTCCCAACCTAAACACTAAAAATGATTTCTTATCAATAATTGAATCTAAAACTGTTGAGTCTATACTCTTTAAAATACAATAAGGGGTGAACAAATTATTTAAAGACAAAAAAAAAAAAAGGGCTGGTTTAACTGTCCTGCTCTTCTTCAAACAAAAAAATCTTTTTTCACATTCCTGTTAATCAGATAAACAAAAATCTATTTTACTTTTGAGTAACTGAAAGCTCTCTTAAAGAAAACTGGTTAAAATGTATATAAAAGAGCACAACACTCTTTGAGGATATGAAAAGATAAGATCCTTTATCACTGGAGTTTCTCCAGGCTGGTTATCTATGAGAAATCTAGGCATTTCCATTATATTTTTACACATTTAATAAAGCAAAATATATTTTATTCTTCAGCAAAATGACCTGTTTTAACTCAGCCATGAGTTTAGTAAACATACAAGGCACAACTTTTATGCAATTCACAGCATTATCAGCTTTTTTTTGATTGTTTTACAAAAGAAAAATAAGATTTTAAGACTCTTTCTTTAGGATAAAAATCTATTTTCCATCTTGAGGTGGAAAACTTTGTAGAGCAGCTGAAACCTTTCTTTAAAAGAAGCTTAAACCAGCCCGCTGGTTGGCAACACAGAAACTGCTGATCTGCTGTTAAACAAAGCAGCCTGCAAAACCCTGTCCCTCCACCAGGGGGCGACAGAGGCTTTCGCAGCAAAAGGCCATTGCCAGTTTACTGCATGGAGCTAGTGTTTTTCTGAGGAGAGAATTAACTAACTGATCGTCCATGTGAGTGAGCAAAAGTGCAGCTCGAAACTTAAGCATGCTGAAGTGTGTAACCCCACAAACAAACAAACAAACAAACAAACAGTTCTCTCTTCACCAGCACTCTGACTTAACAGTTTTCATCGTGCTTTAGGGTCATTTAAGAGAAACTTTACAGGCACAGAGTGGTTGTAGTGATTTCCCTGATCAACAGGAGACGACTTCAAACTAAAACAAAAAGTTTCTGCTCAGTGTTTTGTTTTTTTTTAACATCTGGATCACATTCAGTGTTGATTTGGTGCCTTCAATGGGAGATCAGATGCTTCAGAATTAGCCACTTTTTAATCATTTATGCACAGACAGTTATCCTGCTTGGCTGCTGAGCCTCAGATGAGGACTTCTGGAGATGGAAACCTTTCCATAATCTTTTTTAACGGGCGCCCTTCCCTGCCCTTCTTACTGTGATCTGAGAGGTATTTAAAGGCAGCAGTACGTATTTTCATGCATGTAGTACATGAAGGTTTCAGTACGTACTGCATCCAGTTAGTGTTCAATCGATTACTGCTGTCTTAAACGTGCATTTTAAAGGAATTTTGGCAGCTCTGAAGCTAAAAACACGTTGGATTAGTGTATATTTATTACAAAAGCTTAATAATCAGCTCAATGCTTGAAATAAGTTTTTAATCTATAAAACCTGCTGTTACTGTGTCACAGCAGCAGCTCAGGAGAAACGTTTTTGTGCATTTTTGTCGCCCTTTAAACGTCACAGAAACAGCTTAACGGAGCAGCATGAGTGCTGCCACAAACTTCACGTAAAGTGCACACTGATGAGGTTTTCCTCTCACGGCGTCAGACCAGCTGAAGCTCCAGGAAAA